CGTGTCGAGCTAACAATCGTTTGTTAAATTAGAATTGATATTCATTTATTATGTAGGTTTGAGGAAATTCATAATAGAGCATTTATTCATTGTGATATTCATTCAGGAAATATTTTATTAGGAGTAGATGATTTTTCGGGTTCTATTAGGATAGCTGATTTGGGTTTATGCAAAAATAAGTCAACTTCTAATCATGAAGAAGTGTACGGAGTGATACCTTACTTAGCACCCGAAGTTTTTAAATATCAGTTTACTCAAGCATCCGATGTATATAGCTTTGGAATGCTAATGTGGGAATTTACATCAGGTCACAAACCATTCAAGGATATAGATCATGATGGTACTCTTATGCTAAATATTATTGATGGATTACGACCTAAAATTACAAAAGATACACCACTTGTCTTTGAAGCTTTGATAAAAAAATGTTGGAGTGATAATCCAGATAATCGGCCCAGCATGAAAGAAATTAGACAACAACTTAATAAATGGCTTCGAGATGAGGAGGATGAATTGAGCTTTATTTCGGCCGAGAAATGTCGGAAAGATTTAATAGAAGAGAAAAAAACCAAAAAGAATATTGACGTCGTTAACTCGGGAGCATATTACACAAGTAGATTTATAGGTTCTATGATTCAACAATGTATCCCACAAAGTATGTATTTATGTAATCTAATTTATCAAAAATTATTATTTCATATTATTAAACTAAACATGAAATCTTTATTTATTAAAGAAGATGAAAGGTCATCTGAAGGTATACAAGTTTTATATTGATATAAATTATGTTATAAGGAGGCTGATTGACAATTAATTTTTATTATATTTCAGACATCAATACTGAAAATCTGTACAAAAAGACTTTGGAATCAATTTTATAATGGGCAGGATTGATATCGGTATAGTACAGTATAAGTAGCATGGCGATTAAGTCTTGGAATCCTATGTACATTAATTAGCATCATAAATGTTATATAACTTATAATTATATCATCGTGAAATGTGGAAGATGTACATAATGAACATGCGTTTGAACTAATAAAATCTGATCCGAAACTTTATTTCTGCACAATTAAACTTAGAAATTAACATAAACTCAAACTTAATCCAATAGACACTCTCTAATCCCGGTTCCTTACTCAAACAATAACAAAGTTCTGGTTTCCTGCTAGAAAAGCCTGCGCCTTCTTCCTTTGACAGGTCGTTTTTTTTCTTTTCATTTAATTAGAGAAGGATTTGCAATGTTGAGTATAGTTTCAGGTGACTGTAGTAGTGTTGGTATGGTGTTTTAATGACATTCTTAAGTCTTAAAAGTAGTACATATTATTGAGGAGTTTCTCGGCCCCTACAATAATGAATAAAATTAATTCTATGCTATAAAAAATTTTTTTGAGGTATTAGTATATATGTGACTATTTTTGATAGAACATTGGCTATTGCGAACTGACGATATGCGTAAAGCTAACAGGAAGAAGAATACCTTGTACTGTGTTTAACTAAATAACCATGCACTCAACATGTAGCACGAATAATTTTACATATTGACAAATTGTGAAGTTTTGACAAAGTTTTGTTTATATTGTTTTAAGAAAATTTTATTATTATTTTTTATATAATATGCATAATTAAATTAATTAAATCTTACTACTAAAGTACATATTCAGTAGGTTATTTTATATAAGATTATGTTTTTTTTTTTCGGGTGAAAGGTGCTAGTAGCCCATGTTTATTTATTGAGTAATTTATATAATATTAGGTTGTTTTTTTATAAGAAATATAAAAATTAATCATAAATAATATATGATATAAGAAAAAAAATTGAAAATTTACTAATATAATACATAATAATTATTCTTTATTATTATTATTATTATTATTATACAAATAAATAATGTTTATTTAATATTGTAAAAAAACAGTTCAATGCAAATTATAAAGTATTGCATAAATATGTTGATATGCTTAAACATTTATTTTAATAAAACTATTTGTTTTTTTATTTTATGAAATTAATTAAAAATTTCTTTAAAAAAATTAAAAAATATAATTTGATAAATTTGATAAATTAAAATATATTTTTGTATTATAATTTGTATTAAAATCAGTAAATCAAAAAATTATTCAAAACTATTAAATAATTATATAATAGATTTATATTATATTTTGAAAAATAAATTATTGTAAATATAAAGTTACTTATTATATATTTTATATTATTAAAAATATTTTTAATATATATATATATATATAATTAAATTAAGAATACAATAAACTTATAAACTTAAAATATTTTATTTTATTTATTTATTTTAATTCAACAATTAAAAAAATATTTAATAATCTTATATTATTATTATTTTAGTTATTTATTTATTGAAAATATTTTTTAAATAATATACTTTATATTAATTTTTTTTAAAATAAATAAATTTTTAAAATAAATTTAAAAATATTCATATTATAAATTAAAAGTAAATTAAAAAAAATTTTTTAATTTTTAATTATTAATCTAAAATATAATTATATTTTTCTTGCTTAATATTTAACTAATAAAACTATTCTTTTTTAACAAATATAAAATGTGAAATAAAAAAACTTTTAAATTTTAAATACAACAATTGTTTAGTTTCAAAAAAATATGTATTTTATTAAATATTTTATATATGTAATATATAATTTTTTTAAAAAATAATATATATATACCAATTAATATAATATAAAAATATGTATAAAAAAATTTTTTTATCTATAATAAAAAAAAAAAACTCTTTTTTACTCCTCTCTCTATGCTTAAAATTTTCTTTTTTAGAAAATTTATAAGTTGTTTTTTTTTTCTTTGCTTTTTCTCTTTTTCTATTACTATTTTCTTTTTCTATTACTTTCTTCTTTCTATTTTCTTTTTTCTTCTCTCTTCTCTTTTATAAAATTTTTTATATATATACTTCTTCCTATTTTCTTTTCTCATTTTTCTGCCAAAATTAAGTTTTTTCCTTTTTTTCTGAAGTTTTTTCTTTCCAGGTTTCTTTTTCTCTTAAAACTGCTACTCTTCATCTCATCACCCCTCTGGCCAGTTGATTCTCTTCTCTCAAGAACTATATTAAGAAGTGGTAACTTCTCTTATATTATAGATTTTAAAAAAATTTTCACTTTCATGATTTTTTAAAAAAAGAATAAATGGTTTAACCTCTCCAAAAAATTAGCATGGTTATTATTACTATATTTGATATTGTTTACTTGTTGATAGTTAGACTAGATACATCTAAGAAGCCACTGTACAACTATTGTTATCTGAACTCCCAGGGGTTGCATCCTACTATATCCAGTTATATGGCAGTCAATGCCAGTATAAAATTCTATAAGTGACATACTAGTGTCTAAGATATTTAGTAAGATAACACATAACGATCAAAGGTTCTAGTTACTCCTGTAAATAGAGCTGATGTTGACAACAAAAGTTTTTCATTTACCTTTTGACAATATAGATTTATGTGTATGGTTAGATAACAATGTTTTTAAGAAACTTCAATTCAACTTTATCCATTGGATACTTCTGCCACATTTAAAAAATGGATATGCCAAACTCTTTATATGACTTGGAGACCAACTTGTGAAAAGTGGCTACAGCACCTTTATGTATAAAAAATCAACTTTCTCCTTCTCCACTCTACTTGCCATATATTAAGCCAACTTTGAAAAACAAACATTCTAAATTCCACTTATAACTTGAAAGCAAACCTGTATACCTGGCTGCAGTACCTTCATGTAATTAGGTATCACAAATCCCTCTAGTTCTCTACTAGGCATTATCTGAGATGTATAGATTTTGAAAATCTTTTTGCTACTGCTTAAATGATCAGCGGAAAAAAATAACTAGGATAAATAGATCATTTTTTTGAGTCCTGCATTAAACTCTTCTTAGCAAAGAAAGATATATGTTAGCTTCTGCACATTTGTAATATTGCCAGTAATAAGTAATCCCTTATGAATAAAAGCTTTGGTTAATAACTGTCCTGGTTAAAAAAAAATTTTTTTTATTTATAATTTAATAAGTAATATTCAAATATTAAAAGTATAAGAAAAATTTTTTAAAAAAATTTCATAAATATAAAGTATTGTTAAAAAAAGTTTTTTTGTTTTAATATAAAAAAATGTACTAAAATATATTTGTATAAAATTTTTATTTTTATTAATACAATAATAAATATTTAATATAAAAAATTCGTTTTTTTCTTTATACATTGTATACTGCATTATAATGTTTTGTAAATTTGTTTATTTAAATAATGTTCAAATAATATAATAGAATTCCAAGATTTAGGATCAAACATGAAGAAAAAAGGGATACAAAAGTATTTGTTTAAACGAGATAACATCTTTTTAATTTGTTTATATTTGCTATCGTCAATCTATTCTATTGTAACGGCGAGAATCGGCGAGTCTGTCGCTTATACACAGATCTGGTCGCGGCACGTCACACAGCAACTAAGTACGCCCACCTTGCACTATTTGGCTATGTCGTTTGTATCGTCACCAACACTTCTTCTTGTCTTGTAGGCGAAAGAGGCGATTGGATTTGACCGTTCTTCGTTTGTCGAACACAGGATTTAATCACACAGATAAAGGTTTCAATCGTTAAATGAGCACACTTGCTGCCTTTATTACTAAGAAATTTGATATTTATACATATTTCCATTATCCAAATTATCCCAATTATTCTCTTTATCCCGATTATCCTCTTTATCCTCTTTATCCCACCTATTTTTATCGCGACACCCGTTATAGAATCGCGTGACGACTCACCTTATTTCCCTGTAGCACTATAAAATCAGCCGTTTGTTTTTACACTACAATAATTCAGTATATGCATAAATTCTTTTTTTGTTTGTTTGGACCGTAATAATAGTGTACACAGTAATCCGTGCAAACAAAGTAGCCTAGATATATAAACATGGCATATAATTTATTTATATACATTCATTTTTCGTTTTTTTTTTGCAAGGATGACCACACTAAGATATCGAGATGGATGCACAGGATTTGGCGGTGGATTCATGAGCAATTTTTTTCGTAGACTACGGTCAAGTGGGCAATCTGTTCCAAGCTCATCTCGAGAAGTAACGAGCAGAGTTACCTCAACACATCAAACTTCTACAATATCATATCAGGATCCCTCGCTCGCTTCAGCGTCCAATTTTTATTCACAAAGCAGCAATACTCAATCTGCGTTTAATAAGGGCGAAACTGATACATCTATTTCTGTACTTCCAAACAAAGTGAATGTGAAATCTAATCTTAATGAAAGAGGGATTGATATCCCATCTCATTCTCACAACGAACAAGGAGACGCAGATTCATTACATAGTCGATTAACAGATATTCATCTGTTGGAACAAAAGGTGGACAACATTGATAACAAATTGCAAATGATAATTAATTTAATTCAATCATCCAATAAAGTAGTCACGGATGGTTTAAACAAGGAAGAAAGAACAAAAGTCGGAGATGATGACAGTAATAAAGAGGTATTAATTCATAACGAAGCCAAGATCGATGCCTTAACAAAGATAGTTGAAGACATACAAAGCATCTTAAAAAAAGAACATCAGCCTGTATCCCAGGGAATTAATGACACAATCAACATCACATCTACTTTGGAAAACAAAGCCTTAACACCAGTTAGCAAAATCGCATCTTCAGATGGAAAACCCTCAACCAATACAACAGATTCAATTAAAAAATTAGAAAAGGATAACAATCTTTACTGTTCTAGGTGTGGTCTATTAAAAACAAATGACGAGTGGTGTGAACCATGTGACCGAGCAATCTTCGAGTCAAACTTCTCAAACTGGACTAGTGGTAATGCTAGTATTGATACCTTCATTCGAGAAACCCAAAGCACGGCAACAACGAAATTCAACTTCCTTGAGTGGATAGCTTTCGACAGAATAACGGATATCAAACATATTGGTAAAGGTGGATTTGGTGAGGTATTCTCAGCCCGGTGGATTGATGGCCCAAGGACAAAGTGGAATAGCGAGAAAGCAATTTGGGAAAGATATCCGAATGTAAAAGTGGCTTTAAAGAGTTTACTAAATCTGAAAGAAGATGCTATCAATAGCGAATTGTTTAAAGAGGTACCTTTCTTAGAAATTATTGTGAAATCAAATACACTAAAACTCATACACAGTATGTATATCTTTTAATTATTTGAATAAACAGCTTCAATCGCATTTGAAAGCAAATAACCAGGTGTCAGGACGCTTCACCACCTTACGTACCTTCGGTATGACACGCGATCCAGTATCCAAAGCTTACATGATGGTGATGACACTGGCCGACGATGGCGATCTTGGGGCTTACCTGAAATCCGAATTCTCGTCTCTCACCTACACTAAAAAACTTGAAATTCTCTATGATATTGCTACTGGTATCGTTCAAATCCACAAATCTGGTCTTGTTCATCGTGACATGCATAATGGAAACGTGATGTGCCAGAGGTATGTAAACAAAGAACAAAACCGAGACGAGTGCAGATTCGTAATAGGTGACTTAGGACAGGCAACCCCACCATCAGTCGATAATTCAGTATTTGGTGTCATGCCTTATATTGCACCAGAGGTTTTGCGCGGACAACTATATACTCAAGCTGCTGATATATACAGCATTGGAATTCTGATGTGGGAATTGACCTCGGGCACAAAGGCATTTGGTGAAGTCCAGCATGACACTAATTTGGCATTGAGCATCCTCTCAGGATCACGGCCCGAGGTAGTTCCAAATACGCCAAAATCATATGTAGATTTGATGAAAAGATGTTGGAGCAATGATAAGGATGAGAGACCCAGTGCAAATGATCTTTATGTCATAATAGGCGTTTGGCTTAACAAATGCTTATACTCACCTGATTCGGAAGTGGCTAACGAATTTCTACAGGGTGACAAGCTTAGATTGAGGGAACCTCAAAAGCAAAAATTGCATCCTAGTTATAGTCAACATAGCATATTTCATAATATAATCTCAGGTACTTATAGGTTATATCGTTTCTATTGTTATTTTTTAGAAAGCCCGAATTTTATTAATTTTATTCCTTTTCTAAAGTCAAATCACAAGACATGATGAAATCATCAGAAACGGAAATCCCAACAGACGGTTTTGACGAGTTCACAATTCCCGATGAGAATGATATAGATTCATTCGAAGATTCAATGAAATTCAAGATTCCTGAAATTTTCGAGGATGATGACTGAATCGAGATCTCGTAGTCTCGGTAATTAATTTACCGAAGATTATGCTAAAGCACCGGAGACATTGTTTTTGCATTTTCACGCATATTTTTTTCTTACCGATTTCAATATTTTCTCTGTAAATTTTATTGGCAATTACATACTCATTTGTATTAAAAAACCATTGATTTAATGTATTTTATTATTGCGGATCATTCGTGCGAAAATATCGTATCTACTGTAAGTGATTGTTAATAATATTCTTTAAGAACACTCGTCAATTTTAGGCATATCATAATACATAAAAATCAAATATTTATCCACAGCATATGAAAATAAATTGTTAAATAAACTCAGTTAAATAAACTCAGTAACATAATTCATCCAACATACATACATTCATTACGAGATATGCTATAAAGAATATAAAAGATATACAGTAAAGCATGTTGCAAAATGGAGTGATTTTTAATTAAAAACGTTATAGGTAGCTTTAGATTTTTTTAACAAATTTATTTTTTATTTAAAAAATCAATCATCACAAATATAATGATAATAATTAAATGCTTGTTTAATTACAAAACATATACAGCATATAAATATTTATTTAAGAATCCGATTATATAAATGTTTTTTTTAGTATATTGTGAAATCAACAACTTTATTAAATATACAATATACATGTATATAATTTAATTAAAATTTTTTAATTTTCAGTTTCATAATTTTTTAAAATAATATCTTGTTAAATTAAATATATAATATACATACAGTATTTTATAAAATGTTTTTATTTGTTTTTAAAAAGTTAAAAATAAAATTTCACATAAACAAAAAAAAAAATTTTTTTTTTTGTATATTTTTATATTTTTTGAATTTGGATTTAAAGCAACATAAAAAATAATTTCATCAAATAAATTTAAATAATAATTGAAAAAAAAAAGTTTTTTTTTGAATTTAAATAAATAATTAGTAAAAAATTATGATAATTATTAATGTATTTTTAAAAACAATAACATTTATTTATCAAATAATTTCCCAAAAAGAAGTACATGATACAATCGTTCGTATATTAAATACGCTGTAATGTTTTATGTTAACAGAAAAGTGTTGCGTCCATATAAATTTTATAGTTCTAAGATTCTTTACAAGCATCTATATCATCATAGTTGCCGATTCAAACTTTTCAATGCGTCCTTTCGGATTGTTCCCTTTTGGTTTCTCCTGTAATTGATGCACGCAGTTTTTCCAGGTTGTTTTCCTCACTGGAAACTTTGGTGTCTCGATGATTGGGAGTTGCGTCCTGTTGAGATAGAAAATGTTTCGTAAAAAATTTGACCAAAAAATTCCACATGAAAAAAAACTAAAAATAAAATGCATACCCAGCCACCAGTTTGTTCGTTAAAACCCTACGAATTTCAAATTTAGTTAAACTAGTCAATTAGAGGTCATGTTCAATAATTTCAACTTACAATTTTAGCGTTTGGATCCTCCTTAACATTTTTTCGATATTTTTCGTTGTCGTTTTCTTTAACACTTTCAGTTTGTTCTTTGTCAAGATTTTTCCCCTGCAAATCCTCCATCATTTCTTTGCTTTTCTCTTTCACATTTTCTAACGTCTGGTGACCTTTTTCACGCATTTTTCCCAACATATCCTGACTTTTTTCTTTAACCTTCTCAATAGTATCGTGGCCCATATCACGCACATTTTCCATTATTTCTTGACTCCTTCCTTTCAAATTTTCTATCATGCCTTTGCTCTCTTCACGCGAGCGCTGACCTATGTCTCGTAAATTTTCCGCCGCATCTTGTCCGGTTTCTTTTAAACTTTCCTTCAACCCTTGACCCTTTTCACGTGAAGACTCGGCGAATTCCTGACCTTTCTTCCGTACTTTTTCCGCGGTATCTTGTCCTTTTTCTTTAAAATCCTCCACCATTCCTTTACCCTTTTCGAGCGAAGATCGACCTTTATCTCGTATATTTTCCATTGTATCTTGACCTTTTTCTTTCAAATTTTCCTTCACACTTTGTGAGGACTCTGCGAGATTCTGACTCTTCTCTCGTATATTCTCCATTGTATCTTTGCCCATTTCTTTCATATTCTGACTTTTTTCACGCGAAGACTCGGCGAGATCTTGACTTTTCTTTTTTACGTTTTCTTTTAAATTCTGCCCCTTTTCTTTCAAGTTATCCATCATGTTTTGACCCTTTTCGTGAGAAGAGTCGGAGAACTCTTGACTTTTCTTTTTTACGTTTTCTTTTACATTCTGTCCCTTTTCTTTCAAATTATCCATTACGTTTTGACCCTTCTCGTGAGAAGACTCGGAGAACTCCTGACTTTTTTTTTGCAGGTCATTCATCACTTCTTGTCCCTTTCCTTTCAAATTTTTCATCGCACCCGAACCCTCGTCATCCTTTGCACTCTTTCCCTGGCCTTTACTCTCCAAAGAACGTTGATGATCTCGAATTCCGCTCGCCGCGGCCTCAGACTGAACATCCATAACACCTGGCTTTAATGTATCATTCCCTTTGGTCTTGTCAACTATATGTCCCTCGGACAATGGCTTGTCACGGGTTGAGGATGGGCCGTGAAAAACATCTTTCGAGGGTAGATGCGCTTGCTTATTTTGCTGATTGCGGCTAACCGAAATATGAAGTAATCTCTGACTGCTATATGGGTTTAAAAACGACGTGCCGTGAATCACGGGGAATCTTCTGTGGGTCACGAAAATTTTACGAGCTTGGAACATTTCAAACCAAAAATTTGAAAGGATCGATTTAACAAGATGATGTTTGAAGGTTCATCTGGTAAGAAGATGGTTGCTTTTATAATTTTGAATATGGGAATCGCACGCATAATTTATCAATCGTCACTTTATTACGTTCTGTTCACATCATACTTACGAAACTATTACAAAGATCACGTGACAATGTTATTTTGTGATTACGTTTTGTTAACGTAGTCACGCATTATATATTGCTTATTGTATTTTAAAATCTTGCTCTCTGGTGACTGGTCACGATTCACAATTTAATTCGATTATATTGTATAATACCAGTATACGAACAGGAAAAAGCCCCCATTCCGGTTTAAGCAGTTTACGGAATTTCCCTCGCTCGGGATATTCGTTTTCACTGTTGTGTACAATAAACGACTAAGACAAATTTGCCTTTTTTTCCGTGATTCACGAGATATCTGCACCTTACCTTATATGAACAAATGCATAACCTGAAAAATTGAGTTTGAATGGCAGGAGTTCTCAACATTTTTTCTCCTTTCGAAAAAAAAAAAATGGATAGTCCGTCTCAACACGATTATATTACAGTGATAAACGACACCGAAGCTGTATCTTGTTCAAATGACAATGGTTCTGATTTACCTCATTTCACATTGCCCTCTACTTTCTTTAAAACCTACCACTCGCGTTTCAAAAAACTTCCAGCACACTATCGATGGGTGATTTTACTTGGATTCTCACTACTATCATTTTCCTCCGCGTGTCTCTGGATAACCTTTGCTCCTTGCTTATACATCTTCACTGAATATTATTCGCAATCTCCTTCTTACATCAATTTCCTTTCAACCATCTATATGTTCACCTACATCGTTTTATTACTCCCTTCGTTAAAGTTCTTCGACATCTACGGATTAAGATTTGGTGTAATTTTTGGAGCATTTCTTAATGCATTGGGTGCGTTTATAAGATTCCTAGGATCCTTAAGTAAATCAGGATTTTGGATATTATTTATAGGACAGAGTATTTCCGCCTCCGCACAAGTGTTTATGTTAGGGATACCACCTAAGTTGGCGAATGTTTGGTTTCTAGAATTTGGGGAGCAAAATTTTGCCACTTCAATTGGAGTCACCGCTAACAACGCCGGAGTCGCTGCAGGGTAAGATCACGCTCGCCTAACGAATGACGGTAATGATTGTGTCGTAACGAAATTGACAATTCGTTGCCCTACTCTTAGGTTCATATTGTCACCGTGGATGATTAAAGAAAAGACGGCAGAATATGATGTACCGAAGTATCTGTTACTACAATTCGGCTTTTGTATATTGGTCTACTTGTTCTTGATGTTTACATTTAGATCAGCGCCAAGGCTAATTCAGAGGTATGCGTTCGGTCGCGCGTGACTTCTTTATCAATCCCTGACCTGACCCGAACTAATTTATTGCCTCTGTAATAAACGCGTGCAGTCGCACGATCAAACCTGTTAAACACAAAGATTCCAGGACTCCATCTTCCACCGCTGTTTCTTTTTCAAACATTAATCATTACATGACAGATAAATCATTTATGTTACTAACAATCTCATATGGAATGATCACAGGTGGTCAATACGCACTGAGCACTCTATTGGCACAAATGATCTTGCCGGTGTTTAAAGAATATGACGAGGTAACTTTTCGACCTTTGTGCACGCGCAGCATGCTCAGCCGCATTAACCCGTAAAGACATCCTGCACATGTCATACGCAAATACCCCTCCGGTTTTTGATTCATGTCCCTTTCTTCTATGCGTGTGTTTTTTTTTTTTCTCTTCCTCACATTACCCTTCACTTGTTTGATTTTCAAAATGTAGGCAGGAGTTGGGTTTCTCGGTTTCTTGATAGTAATATCGGGAATGATTGGATCACTCGTGATCGGAGTTTATTTGGACAATACCTACGCATACAAAAAAACATGCCATGTATTATACATTGGGGCAATAATCTCGTTGGGAATTTTTAATTTTTCGTTGAAACTTGAAATTTCGAGTTTAATGTTTATATCAAGGTTGGTATTTTGTGATCCCGTTCTTTACGGTGCAGTGGAGTGTGACTGACATTATTTCTTCGAATACCTCAGCATATTATTCGGTGTGTTTTCCTTTGGTAAGTGGTGAAAATGTGTTGTTGGTGCCATCATTGTAATGATTGTCATTCACGCACGATGAACCATCATCAAATTAGCGATATCCCCGGCGGTCTTTCAATATGCAACAATAATAACGTCGAAACGATTTCTAGACGACGAAATCGCTACAACGGGGATCCTAAATACCCTTTCTCAAATCTGGGGAATCATCCTGATCTCCTTTATGGGCTCGATCGAAAATTTGGATAGTAAATATACAATGGAATTACCAAATTGGGTATTATTCTCAATTGTGTTATTTGGTTTGATTTTATTATTGTTAATACCAGCAGATGGTGATTTGGGTTCTACAGTTAACCTTCTGTATGGCGAGGATGATTATATTGAGGGAATTATGGATGAGGAAGAGAGTTGAACAGTAATGGACGGGGAGCTTGTTGTTATCAACATACTCTTGCTTGTCTATGGTTACACTTCTCATTCAAAAGTCGATGAGCTTTGATCTTTGGCTATAATACTTATGGTATCCAAGATTTGTTTCAATAATGATTCTTTTGCGCAAAGGTTAAGGCAGATGTTTAAATTATTTCGAATCATTGTTTATTTCACGCGTTTTTTTGTTTTTTTTTTTTTGACCGTAGAAAAAGTTACATATTTCATAAACAATTTTAAATATTGAATTAATAGATGTCCTTTTGTGGTTGCTTTTTTTTAGTCGAGAAAAAAAAATGATCTCACCTGCATTTTGAATTGATCTCTGATATTCTTCATTTGCTTCCTGTAATTCCTGTTCTAAAGCCTTAAACGTTGCGATCTGTAGTCAAGTAAAAAAAAAGTGAAATAAATAAGTGAATCGTTCATTATCTTAACGAAATGCAAACATCATTTAAAAGCGTGAAGATACCTGTTCCGACTCGGAACGGTTTATGCCAGGTAGAGCCGCGATCAACAATTCTATTTGTTTCGCATTAGTGCAGATGTCATGAACGATCTCTTGTTGCTCGCCTATTGTCGGAAGAAAGGTGAATCGCGTGTTCACATCTTACACGATTTGCTTCATATCCATATGACTGACTTACTCTTAAACTTTTGAGGATCCTGAGTTTGGACTGAATAAACGAATAAGTAAAAAAAGCAAATTATTTATAATAAATTTATCGGGTCATTCGATTTTTTCCAAGAAAAAACATACGGTTTGTGTTATTTAGCTTATCGACTACTGTAAGAAAAATGGAGACCATCTTTTTTCGCGGGTGTGTATAATGAAAATTGTGGTTAGCATAATTGCTCGGTGAGTGCATGATGAAAAATCGATAACGCACCCTATCTATCGATTGTTGTAATTGTGTGATCCTGTCCATGTTTATCGACGTCGCTTCACGTAATGTTTCCGGTCTCGGCGGCGAGGGTAAGGAATTTGGCATGAATGAATTGTTGACAATTATACGTGTGCTTAATTAGGAATCTGAGGTCTATTTATAAATTATTTGATTGGCGCACAATTTTTGATTCGCGGTTAAAAATTTGATGAAATAATAACTGCGCTCTGAGCTCGCATTATTCACACTCTTCGTGACTAAAGATCGTACGTTCATAATGAATATCTCCGAGATCACGACAAGCTCTTCTTCCACCAACCAAGGTGAGGGAGCGTTCTCCTTTTTTTTTTTTTTTTTTGGAAATTGTCCGAATTCGTGTCGTCACTTTACCGCGATCCAATACAAAGATCCTTTTCACAGGATTTTCTTTTCTTTTTTTTTTTGCTTTTGGATCGCGGTGACTGGTAAAAATGGAGACGTAGACGGACCATTCACCACATTACGCTCATTCTCCTCCCACTGATGAGTTCTATTTTGTCTTTAAGCTACTGAAGTTGAAGATCTCACTTCGCAACTTGCCGAACTTGAAACCCAAGAGCGTAAGTCTTTTTTTTTCAATATCGTCTGATAATCATTTTATCTGATCTGACACCGTGAGAGCTTTTTTTTTTTTTCTCTTAATAAAGCCAAGAATAGTTTTCTGCAAGATACTGATCATGAGGTTGACGTTGTAAGAATAAACGAAGATGAACCCTTGCTCTCGGTAACGAAATTCGAAGAGTTGAATTTGTAAGGAACATCATAAGTGAAAAAATATGCGTATTTCATTTTCTTATTACATCAGGGCGCTTTTTAAACATGAATTTCTTTATATATAAAAAAAAAAAATCAGAGATCCGAACTTGTTGAAGGGCATCTATGAAATGGGTTTCACCACACCTTCGAAAATCCAGGCAAAAGCATTACCCCTACTCATCAAAACTCCGTATGTTGCCTCTTCACACAAAAAGCTTTTCCTTTTCACGTAAACTAATGTCACCACTCGATCAAAACAGACCTCAGAACATGATTGGACAATCTCAATCGGGTACCGGTAAAACTGCAGCTTTCGTTTTAACGATGCTGAGTCGAATAGATTCTAATCTGAAGGCACCACAGGTAGCGAATCTTGACTATTACATGACAACATTTCATATTTTCAAAGTGCACTCTAATCAATCACTCTTGATGTATTATTCTCAAGGCGCTTTGTTTGGCCCCGTCAAGAGAATTGGCTCGCCAAATTATGGCGGAAGTCAAGAAGATGGCGAAATTCACATCGGTAACAACTGCCGAAGCTATTCGTGACTCCAACGCGAACACGAGAATGGAAAAGAATAGGGGCGATGCATATAAAGAAGCTCAACTCATTGTCGGCACACCGGGTACAGTCTACGATTTGATCAAGAGGCGTTATCTTGATCAGAGACATATAAAGATCTTTGTTTTGGACGAAGCCGACAATATGTTGGATCAACAGGGATTAGGTGATCAGAGCATAAAGATAAAAAAGCACGTATCTTCAATATTTTCGTGGCATGAATTACTACCATGATTTCAAAATATTTCATTTATACGATTTGACGCCTGTTCATTATTAGTATGATGCCTCGCGATTGTCAGATTGTTCTCTTTTCAGCCACCTATAAGGAACCAGTGCGTGCTTTCGCCGGGAGATTTGCCCCCAACGCAAATGAATTTAGCCTAAAAGTGGAGGAACTTTCAGTAAAGGGCATCAAACAATTCTACATGGATTGCAAAAATGAAGAGCACAAGTTGACAGTGCTGAATGAATTATATTCCTTGTTGACAATTGGGCAAAGCATTATTTTCGTTGAGGTCTGTCAACAGTACCTTATCATTTATTCATGTATCTATGTCTACCTCACCACCTCAAATCTGATGTTATCTATTCTTTCTCAAGAAACGAATTACCGCGGATGAGATCGCTAAACGCATGACTGAAATCGGTCACAAAGTTATCAATCTCCACGGTGGTCTTTCGACGACCGAACGTGACGAAGTGATGGATGGATTTCGTAAGGGTAGCGCTAAAGTATTAATCGCCACGAATGTAATTGCGCGTGGTATCGACATCTTGCAGGTTAATCTCGTGATCAACTTCGATATCCCAATTAAAAGGAACACGAAAGGGGGGAACGAGCCCGACTATGAAACATACCTTCATCGCATAGGACGCACGGGTCGATTTGGGCGCGAAGGAATTGCCATCAATCTGGTTTCCGACGAAACTAGCTGGAAAATTCTCCAAGAGATTGCGAACTTTTATGAACGGGGAATCGAAAAAATTAATATAAACGATGGTTGGGACAGTGTCGCCAAGTTCTTGCGAAAGGAGATCAACGCGATAAATAACAATAATAATTCCTAATCTACTGTAAAAAGGAAATAGAAGACGTCACGAAAAAGAGTCACGAAAAGAGTCACGATTCTAATCAAAATTATTCTACCGAATATAAATGAACTACTTAATCGGTTTCCCACTTACACACCATAAAGTTATGGTTTAAGTTATTTTATTGTTCTCGCGTCGTTTGGGCACACAATTTGACGACGGCGAATACAAAAAAAAAAAAAAAAAAATCATACATATTTTTTTTTTTAAAAACTTTTCTTATTTTTTTTCTTCTTTGTGTAGACTAATCTTATCATGATAATAATTTTACCGGGTTCGTGCTTGATTATCTTAATTGTAGAAATTCACGAGGATCCTTATGATCTTCAAAAGGGAAAGAAAAAAATTGGTTTTTCAACATAATGAATTGCAGTTTGATAACCCTGCTGATCAAATGTGAATCAATCTTTGAATCGCGAATAGATTCTCGGATCGACTAACCAGAAATGCAATACAAGACATAAGATGCGTAATGCGTGTGCGCTTATTATTATTTTAGCGACTTTCTTTTTAAAATTTCTGAATGACACGTGGTAATTATCTATGCATTGAGTGTTGGGTAAAACCTATTATTATCATTTTATTTTTAAAAAAAGACTTTCGTGGAAAATCCTTTCTATTTATAAATTTCGAAATACGAATATTAAAATATCGTCGATTTTTGGATTTTTGGATTTTTGGATTAATCCTTTAATGAAGTAAAACTTAATTCGGAAACAATATATTTGGTGTGATCTCACGCCAAGTAAATTAGTATCATGTCACGATGAAAACTAATGAGATTGCAGCAGGAACATTAAAAAGAGACTCGGGGGAAGACTTCCAAATCCACTTGCTAATAAATCAATCATTGTAAAATTGTGACATAATACCTACTATATCGAGCTTAAACACAACATACCACTTATTACGACGTCACCATGATTGGCATAACGTACGTATAGTAAAATATATAGGCATTTAATTAATTTCTACTACTACTTTATTTGGCAACCATATAATGTATTAACATGATCGCGTCAGTCAGTTCACCACCTTTCCAACCTCTTTTTTTTTTTTTTTTTTCCCTTCATCCGCTCGTATCATCTTTCACCACCACCAACTACTTACCTCCCTACTTCCTCCTCCCCTCCCTTTCCCTCCCTTCCCCCTCCCCTTCATCTTTTTCTAGCGATCGAAGAATACGTCTTCTTTTTCTTTCCACCCGAAATCGTATATAGCATGGTCGATCCGGACGCGAGCGAATGGCTCAAATCGCAACAGCGAGGTTCTCGCAACCATCGCATAATAATTGTCACTCTCGGAATAATCGTGTTGATGGGTGCTGTCACCGGAATTGTCTTTAGCGTCATGAAGAATTCTCATGGAGCACCCGATGGGTCGGGTAGCGGAAAGAGCGGCAACAACAATACTAATACCGGGAACGACCCCAATAACAAAAATCCCGGCGGAAATCCTGCAAGTCCTGGCGCAAAATATTTCACCTGGGACAATAAACCTGTCAATTTGACCATAAATCCAGATTCCAACCTGAAAAAATCATTCTACGGGTTGAATTACGGACCCGTGAACGCCTCTTTTCCTTGGTGCGGAAACACCTTGGGCGATGTCATCGAAGACATCAAGATGATCTCGCAACTTACAAGCAGGCTTAGACTTTATGGAATGGATTGTAACATGGCGGATTACACTCTCGAGGCGATTCTTCTCCTGAAATTGAACATCACCATCGTTCCCACAATTTGGGTGGACGACAATGATACCACTTATCAGAGGCAACAAGACAGTTTTTTCAATTTGATAAACAAATACGGAGTGGACAACATCGATGGCGTGTCCGTGGGCAATGAAGGTATGTTCATTTGTGGCGCGCACGTGTATTCCTTTTCACCTAATTCATTTGCCTGCTGGCATCACTATCTCCAGTCATTTTCCGCAAGGACATACCGACACAAAAATTATACCAACGCATCGCTGACGTCCGCAGCAAGGTAAATTCGATGGGTCTCAAGAAAAAATTACCGGTTTTCACCTCCGACCTGGGTTCAAACGTCGATTCAGCTTTTGTGGCAGCGAATGACATGATTTGGGCAAACGTGCATCCATTCTTTGGTGGTGTAAATATTAATCAAGCGGCAAACTGGACATTCACGTTCTTTAAGGAAAACGATGTTGCAGTAGCAAAGGGTAAAGATACCATTATGTCGGAAGTGGGCTGGCCAACTGCCGGCGATTCTCAGCAAGGCGCTGTTCCTTCATTACAAAATTTGCAAATTTTCCTGAGCACCTTCATTTGTCCTGCAAACGATCAAGTTAAATATTATTATTTCGAAACATTTGATGCACCATGGAAAGCGCAGAAATGGACCATCTTGGAAGGAAGTTGGGGATTGTTCAATCCCGACCGATCTCTAAAATCAGGAATCACTCTTCCTAGTTGTATTGCTCCATAGTATTTCCAAGATGTCAGACGCGTTATTTTCCCTTAATCAACCAACATCATAATTTATTCATAGAAAATAGCGTCACTTCCATTTATTTATTTATTTAACAGATTTCCTAGGGTTCAACAATTATCATAGATCAAAATTTGATGTACTTAAAACAAAAGAAAATCCATCTCATTGCAAAACATTAAAGACACGATTGTCATGCAGATGTATCCGACGCGTATTGTTTCATAAATAATAATTTTATTCTATTATTCGTTCACTCATTCATTCATTCATCCATACATCCAATCGGGATCCTCCTCTTCCGAATCCTCCAACTTTAACAGTTCCAACTTTTTTTTCTTCCAGGCCGGATCATCGGATTCCACTTCATGGCGACAACTTGGGCATGTGTTATGCTTTATTTTTGATTGATGCAGATGGAAAAAAGAATCGAGAATGAATGTGTACTCGTGATTTACTTGTTAATTATCACAAGCAGCACAAAAAACTGTAATATTGATACCCACTAGATGCAACCAAGGTAGAATACATTCCTTGTCAAATAAATGACTACACGGCATGCGTGTTACCACCGAATTCTCGTTTGACACAAATTTTTCGGCACATATTGGACACGATTCGTCTATTACGTGTATTAATTGACGCGTCAATGTACTCACATCTTCCCACGGATACAATGCCCACTCACGACGGTTCATAATACAGTACATTACCAGATTTGATCTCTGACTTTGGAACTGTGGGTAAATTTTGAAGAAACTTTTTACTAGCCGGTGGAGGACCCTTTGCACTTTGAAGGAAAATGGATGATGAGAATTATTCATTACCCGTGCAATGAAACGAATTTTGTCATTACTTTGCATTGGCCTCTTCTAATAATTGTGAAATCAAGTTATCCAAAAGTACTTGGTTGGTACCCGCACCACTACTCGTTTGTCTATCCCTGAGGGAACCCCAAAAACTGAAAATAACGCAAGTTAAAGGTAAATGACATAAGACAGAACACCCATTCATGAATTTGTGGAGAAAAGAAAAAACATACTTTGCCAGAAAAAAATACTGCTCCGTGTTCAAATAAGTTTCTTCCGTGTTCCGAGTTGCTTCATCGGAATCACTAAAAAAATGCGAGACGTCGGGGTTATTTGCCGACGAAGATTGCGGCTTTTTTTTGAAGGTTGGGTCTGGTATACCTTTCTCGTCTAACATTTCGTGATTGGGTGCAAAGAATAAAAAGTCAACGCGTCTGGCATAGGAAAGAGACATCGAAAGGATATTTGGAATAAAGTTTGACTAACGACATAAATGTGTTTGGCAAACTCTAGTTCATTCATATTTACCAAAGTAAGATGACATTGTCGTGTACTGTAAATCTATAAAGCAAGATCGAGTGCTCATGATCGTTTATATACATTCAGGTGGGACAAGATATTACGTGCATACGTAGTTGGGTGCGTACGTGCGTGCGTCCGTTACGTATGCCCATAGGATTTTTCTCGACTCCCATCAACTCATCATAGAATGTTACATGTGTCCACGTTAAAGCGTAGACTTAAGACACTTATCACCGAATTCGAGAGAGCAAGGCACATATGGTTCGAACTTAATGACAATGGATTTACCCTTGCCAATTCTCTTATTAAATTAAGATTACAAGAGCGGTATTATGAACTTTCTTCCTCCACTTTGAACGCATTTTACCGTATTATTTAACCTTCAACGTTTGCTTAGAAAAGTAGAGTTTCCAACATGCTTGCTTTCGGAATTAGATGCGGAATTAGATGATTCTCTTGATTCGATGGAAAAACATGGAGAAGAGAATTCAAACGAAAACACCTTCAGCCTGTCACAATCTTGGCAGCAAGTTCTAGAGAAAATGGTATCATCTGTCAGTCTTTTTCGAACGTTACTTGCGATCATATGGTGACATTGCGATTTATGTTAGGCTTCACAATATGCAAAAATGAAGATGCAAATTTTGCAAATAGAATTTTTACTTGAAGAAGCCTGCGAAAGTCTGGGCGATGAATTTGTGTATAATACACCCGTGTATTTGACGTGCACATTGGAAACTTTTGGCAAGTTCTCAATACAATGATTCAATATTTACGGGTACAATGGATTTGCTAACATATTCGAATCTCCATAGTCCACCATTTTGTAAATATCTTCAACATGTTCACTCGAGAAATCGATTTGAAAAATAAAATTTTTTCTTCGCTACAAGACGTAAATCGCGAACAAGCAATAGTGTTGCTGTCAACCTGGCTAAACCAACCATACATCAATGACGACAAGATCAAAGAGTTTGAAAGCATCTGTGAACTTGAACTCGAATTTGAAGAAAAACAATGATTGTTACACGCGAGGTTAAAATTAACTTGGTTAATTTTAAATATTTATTTATTAAATAGATTTTTTCTAAAATATATTTATATAAAAAATAATTTTATTAGCTAAATTTTGATTTATTTTTTTATTTTATTAAAATCGACAAAGTATTATTATTTATCAAAAAAAAAAAAAGATTTGGATAAAGACAAACAAATGATCGATAAATAAAAAGATTTCTGTTTTAAATACAATTTTATTTATTTATTTATTTATTTATTTTATGTATTTGCAAACATTTTATGAAATTTTTGTACATAATTTTTTTTATTAACAATAATTATCAATTAACTGCTGAAATCGTATACTGTAACTAATCAATTTTGTATTTGCAAGGATCTGATAACTCTCATCTCATGAGGTAAAATGAGAACAGATAACGTTATCCTATAACGAGGTTGCCGGTGTGGTGTCAGATGAAAAGATTTTTATTTGATTTTTTATCATAATCATATCATATGTAAGATAGAAAATTGTACAGTACCATTCATTGACAGTATATCAAGATGTTAAAAGTGACGTATTAAGGAGAATTTTGAATTTCCAAATGCCTAACTAATCCCCTTTTCATTGCCGCATAAAGGTATCGATTGAGCATACTGCACACATGCACGTATTTCATCCAATTTGTCGTTTGTATTAATTCGAAACAATATAACCTCACTAGTCATGTGTCATGGAATGGGTGAAACAAATAATCACGTGGAACACGACACGAAATAACGGTTGGTTCAGGAATTTAAATTGAATGCATGAATAAATCGATTTAATGAACCAATCAATTATTTTATATTTGGAAATCAGAGAACACGACATTTAATCAATTCGAGGTTATTTATTCATAATGCAGTAACCGTTTATCTGTTGAACAAAAAAATGCAGTCTAAATTGAAAAAAAAATATCATATTAAGCTTCACCTCGGTCTTACCCTCATATGTACAGCATTTTTTTGATTTCCTATATTTCGACGATCGAGCTTGCTTGCGACTTGTCCTTAAAGGATAAGTTTTAGATTCCAAAGTTTTTGAATAAGATTTTTTTTTATTAAAAAAAATAAAAAATAGTAATAAGGATCCACCAGAATTGCGATTCCTGAGTTGCTCATTCAAGTCCCCCCACACCATGCTCTCAGTATAGAACTTCTGACCTCTTTTTGTTTTGAAACAAAAACCCATTACGTACGCAGACTTTTTTGAGTAACCCGAAAAAAAAGTCACAACATCTTACCACTAGGATCCAAGCGTTAAGAAAAGTTAAACTCTCCTTATACTTTTGTTATTATCATTCTTTCTTTTCTACGCTTGAGGATTTTCCTTTCTTTTCGTTATTGAAAGGTCTTCTCTTTAGTCATTTCCGCTAAATATTTAGTCGCGTCTTGCCCGTCAAGAAAGAAAGATAATTTATAAACGTCCCTGCATTTTCATTAAAAAAAAAAAAGCGCACCTTCTTTCGTTCTTTTTTTGGAGAAAAAGAAAAAAAATTTTTACAGGAAACACATAAAATATATGAGAATTGAGCGGTATTTTTCAAAACTTTTGTTTTCAAAAATACAAACTATACATTTTATGTTCAACTACCTAAACCGTCGAAAGAGATAAAAGATTATTGGAATATCTGCGAAAGGGACGTTCGTTAGTTTACTTTTGATTTTTGCGACACCCGGATTCGGAATAAAGGTTTAACCCTGAGAGGAAACAGCGGATCCCTCTTCGAGAAAATCATTGTATACTTCCTATATTCTTTTATCATTTATCTTTTTTCAAGTTGAAATAGCCTCTTCTCATTGAAACTAAACAAACATAATGACCGAAACCCAATATTCAATCGCTTCCGACAACTTGAATTCGTCCACAACACCGAAGGACGATGATAAACTAAAATTTTCCACGTTGTCTTCCATTTCCTCTTCTCCCTTTAACACCATCTCCACCACCGCATCAGATAAAACGCTGGCAGATGAATCACTGGTCCCAAAAGATCTGCTCGATTCCGTGTTTAGCACGTTCGGCGATAATTCCGTTGGTGATATTGACTTGAGTTTGAATGTGAGTCGCAATAGTCTTAGCGGCAACACCATCGTTGAAAAGCATAACAGCGTTAGCACAAAACATAATAGCACCAGTACTAATACCAACAGTGTTAACAAGAAACATAATAGCGGTCTTAGCAAAACCAACTATGAGAGTAGCAACAAGGAGGAATCGAAAGTCACGCAAGGTATGTCTTTATCAGAAACATCGAATTAGCGGGTGACTTATTATTTATCATCCATTTATCACGCGTCATACGTTAAAAAAAGGGCTCAGGAAAGATTTCCGAACACCAACATCATCGTTCTTGCTAGGTAAGTTATTTATAATTTTCAATCTCAAAAGATGTTGTATCTCAATTTCCAATTTCAAAAAAAAAAAAACAGAAGATCGATTTAACAGCGCCGACTTAGAAAATCTCAACCTCGAGGCGAGCGAGGCCAATATCCAAGTACCAATATCCTTTTCCGCGGTTTCCTTGAATCTTGATATTGGTGGCACGTGTTAAAATTAATTTAAATCATGTTCATCTATATATTGTTTCACCGTGATCCGATACTCAACAAAAATTTTTTTTTTCTCCTTGAAAGACTTTGCAACGAAAACACAAAATCCTATAATCTCATCACCATCATCACCAACATCACCACCATTATCACCACCGCCAACATCACCGCCGCCAAAATCACCACCGCCAACATCACCACCACCAAAATCACCACCACCAGCATCTATTCGTGAAATAAGGGATGATAAAATAAATAATGAAAATAGAGGGTCCAAGATTTTTAGGAAGGAAAGATCGGGTTGCGGGTGCGCGATAATGTGAGAGTGGTTAGAACAATTTGGGGGCAATACCATTTTAATTGTTAGTTATTCGCGAGTTCAACTGGTTCATCTCTTATATTATTTACTTATTTTTTATTTATTCAATTTTTTAATAATCATTGGGCACTACTGGATGAGTCTTTCTTCAAAGAAGAGACTCTGAAGGGGTTAATATTTTTTGCAAGTCAGAATACTTTACTTATATCGCATTATCCATTATAATTGTGCACAATATCAGAAATTTCACCAACTACACTCAAAAAAAGAAAAAGTTCAAAAAATAATGATTTATTCTATTATTAATGTGTTTTATTTCTACATATATATATGATAATACAATACACCCTCACTTTCGGCATTTTAAATATTCATCTCCCTTATGATTATTATCATCACCATTTTTTTTTTTAAAAAAGATTTCAATCTAAAATCATTTGCGAAGATTTTCAAATGTCAGTTTCGAGTGTAGGTTTTGTTGGTTTATGCTTTTTGGTATGGCGAGCGTATGTTATATACACAAAGTTTTTTTCGCATCGAAATGAATAAAATGTAAACATACCTGTACCTGGTACAGTAAGAGCAAAATATTGTTGCTTCAATTTGCATATACAACTTGTTTTCATTTGAACAAAAAAAAAACCTTACGACGGAAAATGCTGTATTTATCTGTCGAACGACCGTACAACAACTATATTGAAAAAAAAAAAAGCAAAGGTAACGCGTACTATTTAGAAAGATATGTATATACTGTATATACTGTATGATTTTATTATTAATTCATTTTCTTAACAAAATAATGTTTTTAATATAAATCTTGATAAAAAATAAAAATTCAAAAATAAATAAGTTTAGTTAATTTACCTAAATTGAAAATTTACATTAAAAAATTATTTATATTTGAATATTATGGTACAGTATACAATTATTTTTATAAAACATTTACAGTATCAGTGAAATAAAAATGATAAATCATAAAAAAAACAATTTTGATAACTTTTAAATTATTTAATTATTTAATGGATTTTTTTTTTTCTTAATGAAATAAGTAAATTTTTTGTGTAGTTAAATTAAAAATTTTTTGTAACTTGATTTCATGAAGAATAAAAATAATTTGCTTCTTTTCATGGAATCGAATTGCATCTGATAAAAAATATTTTAGAATATCTATTAAAATAACTTTTATAGTTTATCAAATCATCATTTTTTTTAAAAAAAATTATCTTATCTATATTGAAATAAATAAATAAATAATAATTTATTTATTTCCTTATCATAAAAAAAAACATTTGTTTATTGACGTTTAAACATGGTTTAAATGATGTGTAAAACTTAAATTATTATTATTATTATTTTATAAATTTCATATTTTTATTGATATTCAACTTTAAAAAAAAAATCATCAATTTAATCAATATGAAAAATAATATTTAATAATATGTAATCAATATGAAAAATGATATTTAATAATATTTAATAATATATGGTATAGATATGGTATATGTATTATATTCACAGTCACACTTAGTTTTGATTACCTAGTAATCTTGCGATTGAAATAAAAGAAATATTATTCGTGAGAAAAAATATTTCTTAAAATGTACATCACTTTAAAAAACTTATTACACCATTCGTATAACGTTTGAGCATTGTTATGAAATAAATAAATGTTATTGATGTTGGTAATGTTGGTGATATTGGTGATGTTGGTGTTGGTGACATTGTTAACGGTATTCGCCTGCCTGTCATTTTGTGTAATGATAAAAACCATGAGTATAATAAGAATAATAATATCGGTTTTGGAAATCGTCGTGGAAAAGTTCATGTCTGGTAATGAATTGATTTTTAAGATCGTTTTGTTTTGTTTTTCCTAGGTTTATTTTTCTTTTTCTTTTTTCTTTTTTTGAGTTTAAACCGGACCCAAGGTCCTATTTATAATTATTTTTGAACTTTAATAGCCAATCAGAGTTAATTTTTTCGGTTGTTGTTTGAATATGTCACCAAATTTAAGAAAGCTGCGGACTACCAATAACTTTTTCTATTATTCGATCTTAACTTATCCAACAGATTATTAGGATTACCGTTAACTTTATATTCGACCATTATAGAAATATACTTGGCCAACATATTATCATTAAGCTATATTCAACCATTAACTTATCAGGATCACTGCTAACTTTTCATTTTTAGAAAACTTCAAGCTACATTCGACCGTTACAGATTATAAAAATTGATCAGGACTATCGTTAACTTTTTTATTATTAAAAATATATACTTAGCCAACAGATTATGAAAATTGATCATGATTACTATTAACTTAAATTATGTTCGACCGTTAACTTGACCAACAAATTATGAAAATTATTCCTGAATTTCTTAAAAATGTGTAAATTACTAAAATATATAATACAGTATAATAATATATGCGAGCTTTTTTTTCACTATGGCATAAGTGGTTTCTTGTAATAGCTTCTCAAAAAGTATTTTCTATTTATGAAAGATGAAACCCTGGTTAATACTGTATATTCTCAAAAACATCGATACAAAAAATGTACTCAACTATTATCGAGAACGAAATAACCAAAAAAATTCCTTTTCTGACGTAAAGATACAAGGTAAAGAATTAGATCAGAATTGAAAACTGATAATTATAAAAGAGAAATGTGGAAACAAAAAATTCCAACTTTACAATCTATTAAATTGTTTATTGTTAACAGTAAGTTGATGGCAAAATATTGTGTTGATAATGCTATACATTTCTGATCATGCCTAATAAAGAAATATACAAGTTTTGCGAGGGAGCATGAAGATCTCAGGAAGTAGGTCCCAGCGCCGGCATAAACCGGCTCTTGATTTCGGTTGGAATGTAATGGGGTGAGATAACAAAGTAATATATTTTGGGAAAAATAAAATACTTTAGATCAATCTAATTTGATAAATATGGTTATAGAATTTACATGTCTGATTATAAATACCTATTTAAAATTGAAAAAATAAAATTATAATAGTTATAGATAAGATTGTAAATATATAGAGGATAATAAAAGTTGCTTTGTATAAATGTTTCGATAACAAGAAAGAGAATGTTAATTGAAATACTCTTTTTTAAAAGAAAATTGATTTTCTAATATTGTAATAATTAAATACTATTTTTATTTTAATCTGTTCTAAGTTATATTTTTTGTTTTATTTAATATTCATAAATAGTAAAATAGTTTTCATATTGTATTATAATTTCTAAATAAAATTATAAAAAAATAAAAATAATATTTCAAATAATATTTTAATCTAGTTCTCAAAATCAGATATAAAAAAAATATTGAATAGAAATATAAAATTAGCTTAATTACTTGTTAAATAATAAAAATTAACTAAAATCCATTATTTATTAAATAGTGTCATATATCATTTCTACTTCAAAAAAAAGATAAAGATGGAGAACTAGTAGCAGGAAAACACTTCAGATAGATGGAACCAATGTGGTATGCTAAAGTTCCTAAAGGCATACAAATTAGTACAGTTCTGAGGTATATAAGATCAGGCGAAAGAGGCAATGATAATTTGTTTTTAAAGGTCAAGATATTTATTCAATAAAATATAAATTCAAGTCTTTATATACATGTTTAAGTTATAATATTTTCATACATAATAAATATAAGTTATAAGAAATAATAAAAATATAAAAGAAGTATTATATTTATCAGAACAGTTATTTGTATATGTTATCATAGAAACAAATACTTTGGCGAAAATACAAAAATAAAGAGAAATAAATAAAATAGAAAATATTTTAAAGCAACAATAGCACAAAAAGTATAGTGCTAAACAATAACAAGGATAATAATACAAGAATTATTTTAGAATAAACAATATTTCAAGAATAAATGCTAATAAAAATTGGACAAGAGGTAGTAATGATCTTGGATGAAAATCAAGTGTAACAATTCTCCCTTACTAAGCTATGAGTTTCACAAATTAATCTTGTATTAAGGAAACATAATCAGAGTGTGACAGACGATGGATTAGGCGTAGAGTTGTAAATCGGGTTCTATAGATCTGGTTGATTTCTATCTTCTCAAAAATGATATATGTATAAATGGCAACCTTGAAATAGTATTCTGTGAAATGTGATTTCAAGTATATATATTGTTTTCTATAGAAAATATTTTCTATTAATTCTTCTAAATAATAAACATATACAAGTGTGAGAATTTTGTTTCTTTTTTGTGATGCTTTCTGTAACTTCTGATAAGTGTTTAAAAGTTGTATTTCAGTAATTTGCAGAAGATCATAAAGGACTGATGCAATATCTACATATTCAGAAGTAGTATGTAAAAGATCTTTGATCAAAATAGTATAAGCAGCCATAGAAATTATTAGTTACATATTAAAAATATTCAAATTTGAAAAGGGAATATGTTGTTTGGGGCAACTGTCCTTTTTTATAAGTTTTTTTTGTATATATTTTTGAGATTCCACCATGTTGTATACTTTAGGTATTTTTGAAATTGTTTGATAGATAATCTTCAATTCAAAACTCTCCTAAAAATGTCAAAAAAAAATCATTTGTTCAGAAATGCTTATCTAACTCGCTCTGGTCTTAGGAACCTATCTTGGAAAACAATTGTGTTGTTTCAAAAAAGGGTTAGGATCTTGAAGCATCAAATTTGTCAAAGAAAAAGG